CTAAAACTTAATCTCAGAAATTACTTTAGAGTTTACTCTCACTCTCTGGACAGTTCCGAGGCACTAATCACACAAAACGCTATCTGTGCAATGCTCCTAACGCACATGGTTTCCGCAATCAATGCAGCAGGTTCTTGTCTTCCGGTCTTGTTCACGTGGGCACAGAAAGCATCTTCTCGTTGTAGCTGGCTGGATTTTTATGCTCTTTCTCTTAGATTAAAGTATCCAAGAGTGATCAAAGCAGCCCTGGTATACTTGCGAAGGGACAGTGGTCCCTGAGCTATACTGTTCTAATTCAGCACCGCTCTGACCATATAACTTTGTATGTACCACGTGTAATTAGAAGTTGTAAGCTATCAAAAAGGGGCTATATACTGTTAAAACATGGGCTACATGGTTAAACATGGCCGTGGACAAGAAACAAATAATTTTTATGTCTGTGATAATTATGCAACTTACTTGGGATAAAGTCCTCCCAATCTCAAGAAATGATCCTGCTGCTGCAACAATATTCTAACCAGGAAGTATCCAGAACTTTTCAAGGGGATAAAAATGGCACTGTGCCTTCTGCTTTGCTTAGAAGAGTGTGATTGGACCCCAGAGTATTATTGTCAATTTACTCAAAAAGTGCATGCCCTAGCAATGCCATTTTTTTTCTGTATTTTGTGTGATTAAATCATGGAGGATTACATGAAATCTCGGACACATGTCATTTAAAATGAAAAAGATAATAATAAATGAAAGTGCTTGGGGTCCCCAAAAGTCCTGAATAGGGTTAATCAAAATTATGCCGGATATATGAAATATTATAAGGAACATAAGAAATCCCTAAGTATATTGTATTGCGCTTATTGCATTATGGCAAATAATTACATAAAAAGAGGTAACACAAAAGACCGAGATTGATAGGCTCATAATTTGGTTGCCATTAATATTTTTTCTACCTTAAACTTTTGCCTCATTGTCTTTTACTCTGTCTTTACTCTGTCTTTGAATTAATTGTTCATTATCTACCAGACAGGTAGATTTGGTAACTAGATGTCTGGACATTTGCCAAACAGCATCTGATTGATTCCGCTTCATCTCTGTTTAATCAGGTAGAGAGAATTTGCCTCAATGTTCGCAATATAGCCCAAGCAGCACAAGACATGTTATCATGCAAGTCATGCATAGCTATTTCTGACATAATGTGATTAAGGGTTTAAATAATCCCACGTGAAAAGCACTGATTGCCAGGGTGGTTGGAACAAAAACCAGCATGCACAGGGGTACTGCAGAGAACATATTCTACCAGCACCCTGAGAGTCAAGAACAAACAAGCAGATTCTTAGTGTGAGAAAAGTAAACATCAGAATGAATGGAAATCACAGTGTTCAACAGACAGCTATAGAAACCTCTGCCTGATTTTATTATGAAGTTTTCAGGTTCCCACTGTCAGATGGAGCCTATGTCTTGGTTGTAGAAGACATTGTTTGACATTCCTTTGGTATAAAACTTCCAAAGGTGATATGAAGAATAATGTCAAGACAATTTAAAGACTAGCTATATTATTAAGGGAGGATAGTGGCCTGTAATTCAAATTTAAACAATCTGCTGTATTTTTCTCAAGTGTTACTACAAGATCCACCTCTGACATTGACTCAGAGTACTATCAGAGATTAGAGTTTCAGGGAGTAACAATAAGCAACAGCCGCATTTCCTCTTCATTGTGGTCCCATGGCTTGCCCCCACGTCCTGTTTGCACACCTTCTCTCTGAAGTGCACTTCCTTTAAAAATATAATGAAAACACAATGGTAAAACACGGCGGTACAGAGCAGGCATTGAAGGGAATGAGCTTCTTCCTCCTGCTTCGCTGCTCCCTGCGATCGGTGCTGTTCCTAGTGAATGTGACGCAAGTGAAAGAATGCAGATCCTGGAGACGCCGTGGCAACCGAGGTTCAAACACAGAACAAAGGCGGTGATCCACTTTTGATTAAAAAATGAGGTGCGGACAAGCGGCAGCTTGTGCCACAGCTGTGGCCAATAGAGAGGTGAGACGGAGACTCACGATAGCGAGGGATCAGGAGGGAGGTGAATGTTGGAGAGAGTGAGTAGTAGTGTTCGTCAGGACTCTCCCAAGATGGGCCATCACAAACTGAGGTGAAAGGTTGAGAATTGTAGGGACCCACACCATGAGCGCAGCCCCACAGCTGGAGATGACACGCAATATTTAAACTTGTTTCATTGAAAAAAGAGCGCGTGAAGCTATATTTTTCAGGGGCCCAGGAATTCCTAGCTGCAGCCATGCTCCAGTATTGTACCTGCGCACACACATTCCGTTTAAGAAATTGACCAGACTGTCTCTCTCGCTATAATATAATTATTCACCTGGGAATGTTTGCAGCAAGTAGCAGTTGATACAACAATTAGTCTTCCTGGGAATAATAGCTTCAATCAATACTTGTTTGGGTCTAAATCTCACACTTGTATTACCTGACAATAAGCCAATCCCAGTCTAATAGCACATTGTACCAGGAGTGGGGTTTGAACCCACATGGGCATACGGCCATTAGATCTTAAGTCCAACGCCTTAACCACTCTGCCATCCTGGTCGAATAACCTAGAGTAATTCAAGTTGCTTTCACACCTGGACGCGGAACGAATTTTTTGCAGGACAGATTACATTCAAAGTCAATGCAAAGACGCGAATACACGCGTCTTTGCATTGACTTTGAATGTAATCTGTCCTGTGAAAAATTTGTTTCGCGTCCGGTGTGAAAGCAGCTTTAGAAATAAGTTGTGGGGACCTTTCCCTTAACTATTTCCCATGTTATGAATTTGGTCTGAGTATGAGTTAAAATATCAGGAGCTTTGCTAGAAGTTCATAAAACAATGAGAGTACAGAATTTGTATTTAATGGGGCAGAGCCACCCTCTCCCTCAAACAAGTCTGCAGCCAGACAATTTGAGAAAATGAAACTAATTGCCTGAATTAATGCAAACAGGTTGAACAATGGCTGGATTTTTTAAAGTTAGAAAAGGGTCACACAATCATTCTGTGCCTTGAGGTGCCAGTTAGAACCGTAACAGCTCTTCTGAACCCAAGAAGTAAAGTTTGCAACACTTGAAAATATGTCCATTTCAACTAGAAATGAAAAATCCATCCATCCATTCTCTATACCCTCTTATTCCTCACTAGGGTCACAGGGGGAGCGGGAGCCTATCCCAGCTGACTAGGGGCGAAAGGCAGGGACCCACCCTGGACAGCTCCCCAATCTATTGCAGGGCACACTCACCATTCACACACCATTCACTCTCACGCACATGCCTATGGGCAATTTAGCATCTCCAATTAGCCTGATATGCATGTGTTGAGGATTATATTTCAATATTTCTCATCATATTCATCAGTAAATCAATAACCAGATTATGTAAGAAGCAGTAACACACACACGCACAGACACATGCATAGACACACACACACACACAGGCATGTACACACATACACATAAGACACACATACACAAGCAATTCACACATGCATGAGCAGCGGGCTTCTGTAGCTTTGATTAGTAAGCAGGCTTCTGTTTAGTTGTAACTGAAAACATGATCAGTTGAATCATTTATGTATCTACTTGGATCCTATTCTTTTGACTGTATTTTTCCTCTCCTGACTGCAATTTTCCTCTCCTTTTTAGTGTATTTTCTTTCAATTTTTATAAGACCAATACTTCTGTGCACCACCAATATTTTCCAGAGAATCCCATAGAGAGCTGCCAACCAATAGGGGAAAGAAAAAACTTAAGAGATAATCAGGGTACGACCCGTGTATTGTGATTGGAGCAAAGTTGGTTGAGATTTTCCCATAAACATGGCTCAGTAAAGAACGCTGAGTTAGTACTTCTTGGCCAAGGACTACTCTTCGGGTTTGGATTATTCCACATTTCAAGGTTGGAATAAAGATAACTTCTGAAGATTTTGTCTCTCTCTCCAATTATTCACAAACAAGGGGACCTCAAAAATATGCAAACTTCTGGTCAGGAAGACACAACGCATGTCTTTGGACTGTGGGGAGAAACCAGAGTACCCGGAGGAAACCCATGCGAACACGGGGAGAACATGCAAACTCCACACAGAAAGGCCCCGGGCAGGATCTGAACCCACAACCTTCTTGCTGTGAGGCGGCAATGCTAATAGAAATGAAATATGTAATGTAAAATATATTGATTTTCTCTACATACAGAGCAGTGTTGTGGGGCAATTTCACCCCCCAGGTGGGGGAATTTCCTTGAACACATGGCATACTGCACCAGGTATAGCAAGAAAGGAAATGCCTGTGTTGTTATTTGTGGGGCCTATTACTTCAATTTATTCATACATAAAATAAAAATGATGACTCAAGTGGATGCTCAAGTATCTAATGAAAAATACTCACCACTTTGTAAGTCCGGATGCTACACTTTTCTAGACGATTTTCAGGGATAATTGATGAGTCATCAAGGGATCTGTTCACTCTTTCCTGTAGTAGACTAAGATGGCTTAGCCAATCAGAGGAAAGCTTACAAAATGTCATGGCAGGTGGGGATTCCCCATGAACTCGGACCTCTGGGCAGCACAAGACTGGACAAGAGAGGGTGTGGAATTACCCCAGATCACCCTACTCTTCCCAGACATCGTGGGCCTGATTAATGGAACGATAAGAGATGTGGGAAAAACCATGCAGTTCTTGAAGCAGTGTCAAAGGGCAAGGACAGGTTCTTTCTCTGGTGCCCAGGAATTCCTAGCTGCAGCCATGCTCCAGTATTGTACCTGCACACACATATTCCATTTAAGACATTCACTGGACTGTCTCCCTCTAAAACATGATACTTTAAGTATTTACCTGGGAATGTTCTGCGAGTAGCAGTTGATACAACAAGCAGTCTTCCAGGGAATAATGGCTTCAATCATTACTGCTTTGGGTCCAAACCTCACACTTATCTTACCTGACTATAGGCCAAACCCCCTCTAAAAGCACATTGTACCAGGAGTGGGGTTTGAACCCACGCGGGCATACGCCCATTGGATCTTAAGTCTAATGCCTTAACCACTCGGCCATCCTGGTTAAGAGAGTTGGAGAAATTCCACCTTAGAAGTAAGTTGTGGGGTTCCTTTTCCTTAACTATTTCCCATGTTATGAATTTGGTCTGAGTATGAGTTAAAATATCAAGAGCTTTGCGAGAAGTTCATAAAACAATGCGAGTACAGAATTTGTATTTTTTTTTTTAAAGATTATTTTTTGGGGAAATTTTTCCTTTATTTGATAGTTGTACAGTGCAGAGAGACAGGAAGATTGGGGGAGGACATGCAGCAAAGGACCCGAGCCGGAATCGAACCCTGGTCACTGTGGCAAGGACACAGCCCCCATGGCACGTGCACCCAGACCGAAGAGCCACCGGGGCACCCCAGAATTTGTATTTAATGGGGCAGAGCCACCCTCTTCCTCAAACAAGTCTGCAGCCAGACAATTTGAGAATATGAAACTAATTGCCTGAATTAATGCAAACAGGTTGAACAATGGCTGGATTTTTTAAAGTTAGAAAAGGGTCACACAATCATTCTGTGCCTTGAGGTGCCAGTTAGAACCGTAACAGCTCTTCTGAACCCAAGAAGTAAAGTTTGCAACACTTGAAAATATGTCCATTTCAACTAGAAATGAAAAATCCATCCATCCATTCTCTATACCCACTTTACTCACTAGGGTCATGGGGGAAGGCTGCAGCCTATCCCAGCTGACACTGGGCAAAAGGCAGGGACCCACCCTGGACAGCACGCCAATCCATCACTGGGCACACTCACCATTCACACATCATTCGCTCTCACGCACATGCCTATGGGTAATTTAGCGTCTCCAATTAGCCTTATATGCTGGCCTTTGGACTGTGGGAGGAAACCGGAGTACCCGAGGAAACCCACGCGAACACGGGGAGAACATGCAAACTCCATACAGACAGGCCCCAGGCCGGATCCAAACCCACAACCTTCTTGCTGTGAGGCAGCAATGCTAACAGAAATGAAAAATATAGTGTAAAATATATTGATTTCCACTACATGCAGAGTAGCGGCGTGGGGCAATTTCGTTGTGCGCCTGATTAATGGAACGATAAGAGACATGGAAAAACCGGTTGTTGAAGCAGTGTCAAACGGCAAGGACATATTCTTTTTCAGGCACCGAGGAATTCCTAGCTGCAGCCATGTTCCAGTATTGTACCTGCACACACATATTGCATCTCACTGGACTGTCTCTCTCTATAACATGATACTGTAAGTATTTACCTGGGAATGTTCTGCGAGTAGCAGTTGATACAACAAGTAGCCTTCCAGGGAATAACGACATTAATCATTACTCATTTGGGTCCAAACCTCACACCTATATTACCTTACAATAGGCCAAACCCCACCTAAAAGTACCTTGTACCAGGAGTGGGGTTCGAACCCACGCGGACATGCATCCATTGGATCTTAAGTCCAACGCCTTAACCACTCGGCCATCCTAGTGCTTTTACTAAGCCAATGTGGGCCTGATTAATCGAATGATAAGGGACGTGGGAAAAACCATGCAGTTGTTGAAGCAGTGTCACAGGGCAAGGACAGGTTTTTTTCTGGCCTACCCTGTATCATGATCCCGGATTACGGCGTTTCCGTTAAAACTGCACTTCGTTAATCTCAGAATAGCACTTTAATCATAAATTCATGCTCGACATCGGAGAGGGTTGCTTTGTCTAAAATGGTATCATAAACTCATCGTCTTTACTTGGGCCTCACGCAATGGCTTCGCGGCACCACTCAAGATTGCTGCGCTGCTGCCATCTTCCGGCAGAGAAAGCGAAATTTATTAGTTTTAAGAAAATGTCCAATTGCTATACTGCACACTTGACGGCACTGTGGGTTCAGGATTTGGATTTCAGCAATACACTCGCTGGGCAATTGTATTTCATGAAAAATTTTCATTCTTTCTACGCGGAAATATTTTAGTTTGTGAGTAAAGAGTCATTCATTTGGTGATCTATTCAGTAAATATTCCCCTGCCAATATTCGTGAGATATTAATTCCAAATTCAGTGAAACGTACTATGCCCAGCAAAGCAAAACAGCTTAATATTGAAGTGTAATGAGTGCGAAGCCAGGGCCACTGATCGTGTTACACATCCATAAGTCAGCGATGATTCAGTGTTGTATTTTACGGTTAAATAGGCTACAGCTTGCAACATGAAGTAGTAGATGTGTTTACCTCAATAATGTGTTATCTTGGTACACCATGACAACACAAATAGTCGCTGAATTTTAGCGAAAAAGGCGTGGACTGTTATGTTAAGAAATCAGTGACGCTTACGCGCTGGAATTTCATCTGGCTAAAAGTAACTGTTGGCGTTGTCTACAGTTTAGAGGGCCGCTTTGACGTGATGGATAAACAGCAGAACAACCAGATTCTTAAAGAAGGCTTCCTAGTAAAGCGGGTAAGGAGTATATCTATAGTAAATAAGTTGCCATTGTCACTGCTGATTTAGCGTACTGTGCACGCGTAATCTGTCTCCACAATGGAACGTTTCGCGACTGTTGCGTTCTGTCTCCGAAGGGTCACGTAGTTCACAACTGGAAGGCTCGCTGGTTTGTGCTCTACCCGGACAAGCTGGTTTACTACAAGTATGAAGGGAGCAAGAAGGACTCCTGTCAGCGTGGAAAGATCCCATTGACAAATTGCGTCATCACCTGTCCCTATTTGGAATATGACAGCCGACCGGTATGGCGACAGTGGTCACGCGCCTCTTTGAAGATTGCTGAGCGTCTGATGACAGTAGGCTATGCACGTACCTGCCTGGTCTATGTGATGTCTTTCAATCGGTGTTTTTACTGTTTATGACGCATGGATTATCGTACCAACGACATTTTCTATCTTCTGTACTGTGACAAAAAATTGGGATGAATTTTCCCTCTTACGTAAATACGAATATTTTGTAAAGTATGATGTGTCTGCAGTGTTCTATAAGTTTCTGGGGAAGAGCTGCACCAGATGCCGTTGCAATAGGGTGTGCCTCCGCGGATCTGTTTAGGCAGATGATAGCCCAGGGGTATGCTCTTTCAGATCTGTAAATTACAAATTGGCCTTGGTTAGGTTTTCCCCGGTTTGGCTACAGCATTTTAATTGAACTTCATATAAAGCTCAAAACATACATCTGGTTTCAGGCCATCGCACCTACCATTAAAGTGTAAATGGTCTGCCTGGGTAGATAATTGACAGACTTACTTTTAGGCAACATAACGAGGTGGGTTCTGCAATTTGACTGCTTAAATATTAGGAATGTGTGCTGCCCCTAATGAAAAGTTAATGAAAAGTGAAATTTTCACTTGTGAATTGGAATATTCTTTTGTGAGAATGAATTAATTTGGACATTTTGCATGATTTTGGCTTTTTCATATATGAATGAGAATTTTCACTTGAGAAAACATGCATGCAGCGTGGAGCTGCTGTTGCATGCTGACTTTTTCAAATGTGGACTACAGTTTGCTCATGTGAATAAAAATCACTTAATTTCCTTTTCCTGAGCTCATATTATTAATTTATATGTTGCATGTGTACTTTTCACATATTGGTTGTTGTGTGCGTGCGTGTGTGTGTGTGTGTGTGTGTGTGGGGCGGGGGGTCCTTTAAATGGACACCAAAATTCTTGCAATAACCCTGGTTGTAACATGCTGGAACCAATCGGTGAACAGGATCCAAAAGGAGAGGATCTGTTAGTTCAGAATGATGTGTGTGAGTATTCACTGGTGGTGAGTGACAGGATGTCTTGTGTGTGGAATGTTTTAGCTGGTGTTGAAGCTTGAGACACAGCATTCAGCTGAGCACTTTCTGGAGGCCTGTTCGCGGGAGGAGCGGGATGAGTGGGCCGCGGACATCGCTGCCGCGGTGCGGAAACTTCAGGGGGATATGGGCCAGAGCGACCCATCCCAAAATAAGGGGCTTCAGCTCCACAACGTCAGACTGAAGTGAGTGCTCTTCGGTTTGAGCGATGCTCGGCCCCACAGAGACCATGAGGCTAATCACTCAACACTACAGGCTGATTTCCCTCGCTTATTTTTCACTTATAATCCTCATTTCAATCACTTGGTTTTCAGTTACTTTCGTTGGCTTACCACCTTTCCTCTTTAAGTTTTCTTTCTCCCAGATCCCTCCATCAAGAAGGTGAGATAGAGAGGAAAAAATGAAGTGAGAGGCGGATAAACGAAACGTGAATAATTAAAATGGAATGTCCTTACACATTCATATGCCATTTTGAAGTGAGGTTTGTTACGACCAGTTGCAATGATAGTAGATGGGGAAAAGCACAGAATCACTAGTCAATCAGTTTTACTTTAAGCACTCAGGAAAGAACACGTCTACAAAGGCTGGTACAGAAGTTACCTTGAGAAGGCCTCTATTTCCTTTTCCTAACTCAACAGATTGGAATCTCTTTGACAATGCCACTTTAATCAGTGTCTGGGTCAGATGTAAGGAAGGAAAGGAGTGGAAGAACTAAGAGATTGGAACAAGCCCCATACTTTAAACTGCATATATCTAGCTTTGCTAACCATGAGTTTTTGGGAAACTGTCCCTGCTGCCCCAGACAAAGGGCAACTCAGTGCCAGTTCTTGTAGATTTTTTCTAAGCCAGATTACTTGCTATCTGTGGTCTGTAACGAGGGTTTCCCCCACCCCTATCTGTAAAAGTACCCCTTTCTAGTCTGCTTTGTTTTTAATGTTTATGGTCTCTTCAGCTGTAATGGTATTGCTGTATAGGGTGCTCATGTTCAGTTACTGTTGTACCTGGCTGTGTGAAGAACTGTTTAAATCCTCTGGTTCTCTCTGATATCTTGCAATTTTATGCACTGCCGCATGTCTGTGCATTTATATGTCTATGTGGGCAAATGTGTGTGTGTGTGTGTATGTGTGTGTGAGACCTGGCTGTTTCTGTGTTCCCAGTCAGGTGGTAGACTCCATGTATAACGTCCACAGTGGGATAAAGCTGACAGTCCACATGGAGCAGGGGAGCTCCTTCACGAACTGCTTTTCAGGTACATTGCTATACATG